ATTTAATTTAATTGGGTATTTAAAAAGTAGCCAATTTTATTTCAATTCTAGCCTAATTGAATCAAACCCCAACCCAATTAAAACAACCCAAACCCCAGGCCCAATCCATCAAAATTACCCGACCCAATCCCTGGTCCAATCTGGACCGTTGATCAATTCTAATCAACGGTCCAGATCCCCCTTTCCATAATTAACCTAATAGTCTACCCCCCCCCCTTCTCTCATCACTCTCTGCCGTCACACCCTCTCATTCTTTTTCAAGTTCTCTCTACTAAACCATGGCTCCTACTCGCCGGCCGTTGGCTCGCCGGTATTAATGGTGGTTCCACCACCACCCGTAGACTCCATAGCTCCCATGCCGGATTATTGTTACCCTAAGGTCCTCAAGGGACCAACGGCTATTCAACTCACACCCATGGCATGTTCTTGCCATTCTCAAGCCACTTTGGCCCGTCTGAGTAAGACCTTTCTATTTCTCCGACTAGATCCATGGCTTCTAAGTCGGAATCTCTTTATCTCTGGGTCATCTCTCTCTGAAACCCTAATTTATCTCTTGACTTCTTAGATCTGTAACAGATCTAAGAGTATTCTGAGTTACTTTGCTGTTTTCCATGATAATCTCTCCGATTTTTCAAAAAATGCCTCTTCGTCTTCAAAACTAGGGTTTCTTAACCCCTTTTCAAAATGACTTTACCTCTGATTTTCAGTATTATTCTATAATATTTACTATGTTTAAATGGTTTATTTAAGTTTTTCCTTTTATCTGATTCATTATGTTAAGAACTCTAATTCTTTTTCTAATCCTGGGTTCTGAGAACTGTCCTTGCTTATTTGTTCGTTTAATTTGTTCGCATATCTGTTATTCATGAATATGTTCTATGTTTCTATGATTTTACCTTATTATGCTCATTAGGGTTTCTGATTTTGCTTCTTCCGCCTATATTATGTTTATTCTGTTTATTAACAGAAATTTGTGGTAATTTCCTCTAATCAGTACTATTTCTAGTTGAATCCCTAATTTTCTGTGATCGATACCCTTTACTGATTTCCCATGGTAATATTCTTTACTGATTTCCAACCTTCAGTTTACTTCTTGCCTTATTACATGGCTGACTATACTGTTAATTGATTCTTATACTATTTCCTTAATTAGAACCTTATGAACCTAGCCCTAATTGTTTACTCTGTGCCTACTATGTTTCAATTATTTCCTTATCTGTTATGCTCCGGTTACACATTGATTTCTTTCCTTATTTTGCTACCTGTTCTTACCTTCTGAATTGATTTCCTTAATTAAGGGAGTACTTGTACTGATTTTATACTAACTGATACCTAGTTCCATAATTACTGCATGGCTTTGTTTCTTACCTTATTATTCTACCTAGTTTCAAACTATATATACATATGGTCTCTCATTAACAAAAGGGGGAACACATTTGGTTCAAAAACTCTCTTGCACTCAAAAAGCTTTCTGCTTTCTTTCTTTGTTACTTGCTACTATTCTGAATTAGCCGGCTGCAAGCCAAGGCTAATAATTGTGCTCTCCTATTCTTCACTTTGTGTTTACCATCTCTTTACTGGTATGTTCTAATTTCAATTCAAGTCCCAAAACCAATATGTTTCTTTTACTGCTTCAGTTTATCATGTTTCTAATTTGTTTCTATCTATGGTTCTGTTGTTCAACATGTAATTGACATGTTTACATTATTGCTTCGTCTAGCGTGCTAGTCTAACCCTCTTAGGGCATTTCAGAACATGTTCTACTTCCTGGTAGTCTGTTTCAATGTGACTCTACCCTGTTTTGAATGCTTGACTACTTGTTATCCAGTTTTGATATGCACTTACTTTGCAAACTGATCTGTCATTTTAAATGTCTGATTCTACGATTGGTTCTGAAATTCATACTGTGTTGGTACCACTAGCTATCCCCTAATCCCATAAACCCCCACAAGAACTGCTATGCTCCTATATACTATGTGCTCTATGTGTCCCCAAATCCCATTGCCCCTGTTTGTGGTGGCTGAACCTGCCTTGGTACTATGTTCCTTGGTTATGTATGAACCTGTTTTGGGTGTTGTGTTTGGACTGTTGCTTATTAGTCTACTCTTTTTCAAAACTGTCCTATTAAATAATTCCCTCTGTTGTTTTGACAAAACTATTTCAAACAAGTCTCTTCTCAAACTATTTTCCTGCTTAAATCTTTTCAAAACTATGTCAAGCACTCTCACATCTACTCTTAGGTTATAAGTTCTGCCCCTCTAATGTGTGACTGCTTAGGGATCCCTATGAGATCCCTCTGAACTCTGATACATTAGTGCTGGCCCTTCCACACTACACTCACTCAACTATGATTATGAAATCTGGGTGTGAGCACTGCCCGGGATCCCTTGAGGTCCTTAGGGAACTCTGACACAACCGGATTATGTGAAAGTCTGTGAGGCAATCTGGCATTGGAAATTCTGGAAATCTGGGCCTACTTTCAGGCTCCCTATAGTGTAACTTCTTATTTTCCTTATCTACTATTGTAATTCGTTCGATATTGGCCTGTAATAATTTGTTGTAAACAGATACTGGGGATGGATAATGAAAATAGCAGGGTAGCTATGCATGTTATAGACAACAAAGGGGTAGAAACCATGCTTTAGGCTTACGTTTCCTATATGCACAATATAATCCATGTTTAGGACCAATACATTCCAAGCATGTCATGCATTAGATATCATGTTCTTAGGTTTACTGTTTCAGCATCTCATTTGACATTATTTTTATCACTTAAAAATCCTGCTTTAGGCTAAATAACAGCATTAACATAAAACTGTTGCTCCTGCACATCTTGAAATCATGCTGTAACTTTCTGGGCATTTTGAAATCATGCTTTAGGAATTCTGCATATCCTGAAATCATTCTGCATTTTATATGTGCATGTTAGATACCCTGTTTTAGGATCCCGTTCATACTCGCTCAGTCACACCTAGTTTAAACTACTGGTTATCAAAGATCTAAAAACAATGTCACATTTATCATGTTTAAGTAAAACTGGTCATAATCCCTGTATCTTTGCAACACTTAGAACAACATGCTTTGGGTAAAATAACTTCTAAACTGTTTTAATAATTCTGATAATTGTTGTGCATTATCCTACGCCTAGGCAAGCCTTAGGTAATCAACCTCTATAAAACTGGAAACTGTTCTTTGTGTTTACTGTTTAATGGTTACAGGCTTAAAATCAGTAGGCAAACTGATTAGGGCCCTGCTTCTTAGCTCATAAAATAAAACTGCATACCTTCTGTGTCTTGATATTCACTTAGACATCATGTCTTAGGATCCTGTTTAATAATACTGCCCTTGTTTGTGTTTGACTCGTGCTGTTTACATGCATTATCTGTGGAGGTAAACCCGAGCCTTTAATTGCTTCTTTGCTACCTTTATTTGCTAAAGTCCTATTTGTTCTTGCCTGTCGCTATTTTCTCCTTTTAAACCTTAGGGGTCCATCTAGAAGTGCCTATAGGTAGAGGTCCTAATTTCCTCCAGGACCATTAAGAAGGGACATGTAACAACCCGCATAGAGATTGTTAAACAACACGCTTAAATAACTGCTATGGGGTGGGAAATGGTAGACATGGATATGATGACTACACGTTAATGTCACGTGTAGCCCCTCATTGAGGAGTGTTTACCGGGCATTGCGTGGGGTGATCCTGTAGGCTAACCAACCTAGGACCCCTCCTTCCCAAAATTTCCCTTTGTCTAAAACTTCACTCTTTTTTTTATATGTACACAACTTGTTCAAAGCCTTTGTCTTATTATTTGAGTCATACAATGTCCAACATTCTTTATTTGCAATGATGTGTTTCAACTACTTATTTGTTAAGGGACTAATTCATAAGTATAAGTTCGGCCGGGACCCACCGTTGTGGACCGAGAGGGGTGCCTAACACCTTCCCCTCAAGGTTATTTCGAGCCCTTACCCTAAATCTCTGGTAATGTAAACTAGTCTAAGAGTTAATCGCTCTAGGTGCCCTAACGTACCATAATCTGTTAGGTGGCGACTCTTCAAATACCCAAATCCAAAAGGAAACGAGTCGATTCTCCCATAGAATGTCGAAACTCGAACTTTCTCCGCAAGGAGGGAAAAAAGGGGGGCGCGACAGCCACAGCCAGGCATAAACTGCTGAGTTTCTTGGATACCTACTCGGGATACAACCAAATAATCATGGAGGAGGAGGACCAGGAAAAAACCACATTCATCACCCATCAGGGGACGTACTGCTACAGAGTGATGCCGTTCGGGTTAAAAAATGCAGGGTAACATACCAGAGGCTGGTGACCAAAATGTTCAAAGATCAACTCGGCAAGACCATAGAAGTATATATAGACGACATATTGGTCAAGTCAAAGAGAAAGGAAGACCATATTGTCCACCTGAGGGAAGCCTTCGATATACTCAGAAGGTACGACATGAAATTAAACCCCAAAAAATGTGCTTTCGGCGTGACATATGGAAAATTACTCGGCTTCTTGGTATCATAACGAGGCATCGAGGTCAATCCCGACCAAATCAAGGCCATAGGAGGAATCCCAGAAAATTTAACCAGCAAAAAGCAAGTGCAAAAGCTGACCGGGCGGATAGCCGCCCTGTCAAGATTCATCTCGCGGTCCTCTGATTTTTTTGGCGTACTGAAAAATGATAACGGACTCCAATGGAATTTTGAGTGTGTCAACGCCTTAAAAGAACTATAGGCCTACCTGTCTTCGCCACCGTTGCTCGCTAAGGCAGAACCCGAAGAGCGCCTCCTCGTCTACCTGGCTGTGTCCGACGTCGCAGTAAGTGTTGTCCTGGTACAAGAAAATAAAGGTACGCAATCTCCGATCTATTACATTAGCAAGACTTTGGTCGACGCTAAAACGAGGTACCCTACCTCGAGATGTTAGCTTTGGCCCTAGTCGTAGCTTCACGGAAGCTCAGACCTTATTTCTAGTGCCACCCCATCTCGGTGGTCATGACTTTTCCTTTAAGGAGTATCTTGCACAAACCCGAATTGTCGGGCAGATTGGCCAAGTGGGCCATAGAGCTGAGCGAGCACGATATAACCTATCAGCCGCGAACAGCGATAAAGTTGCAAGTTCTTGCCGACTTCCTCAGCGACTTCACTGCAAAGATAGTGTCCGAAGCCGAAAGGGGAACCGCCATTACTTCCACCAAAGTACACGACCAATGGGCTTTGTACACCGATGGCGCTTCTAATGCATCAGGATTTGGACCGGGACTCGTGCTCGAGGTCCCAACAGGCGAAATGGTTTTCCAATCCGTACAATGCCCTAATATGACTAACAACGAGTACGAGTATGAGACCGTGATTGCAGGGTTAAAATTAGCATTCAAACGAGCACAGCGAGTCATCCTTCAATGCGACTCGCAACTCGTCATCAATCAGGTCATAGGGAATTTCCAGATTAAGGAGCAACAATTACAGAAATATCAGGCCAAAATTTGCAAACTATTACCCGAGTTCGACAAATGCCAGCTCGATCAAATACCCCGAGCGCAGAACATCAAAGCGGACGGCCTCGCCAAATTGGCAGCGGCCACCAAAAGCATAACCGGAGAGGGGGACGTGGTCACTCTCCTCCATTCATCACTAGACCAAATCGAGGTACGATCTATAAACCTAACTTGGTACTGGCGCAATCGTATCATCTCATATTTGCAGGACGGAGTGCTCCCACCCGACAAAAAAGATGCCAAGAAGCTTCGAATGCAGGCGGCCAGGTACAGTGTCGTCAATAACGACTTGTACAAAAGAACATTTGGTGGTCCCCTAGCAAAGTGCTTAGGACCAAATCAAACACGGCGCGTCCCTGAAGACGTACACGAGGGCCACTACGGAGCTAATACTAGCAACCGAGCTCTCGTCAGATGCCTCATACAAGCAGGCTACTATTGGCCCACGCTGAAAAAGGAAGCCGCCAACTTCGTCAAAAGGTGTGAGCAATGCCAAAGATATGCCCCCATGATTCACCAAGAGGGTGAAACACCTTCATTCAGTCAGCTCGCCCTGGCCTTTCATCAAATGGGGAATGGACATCGTCGGACCCCTACTAGCGGGACAAGGTAATGTACGATTTCTTTTAGTTTTAACTGACTATTTCCCCAAGTGGATAGAATCAGGTGTATTCGCCCAAATACGCAAGCAAGAAGTAATCACGTTCATATGGAGAAACATCATATGCCGCTTCGGCATCCCCAAAGAAATCAGCTGCGACAAGGCCCCTGGTTCATTGGAAAAAAGACCGCCGAGTTCTTCGAAAAATGGCACATCAACAGCGTATTCTCCACACCATATCTTCCCGCAAGCAACGGTCAGGTGGTATCCTCCAACAAAACAATATTGAATATCATGAAAAAGAAACTCGAAAACGCCAATGGACTGTGGTCAGAAGTGCTGTCAGAAGTGTTATTGGCATATTGCACCATGCCAAAGACGAGCACTTGGGAAACGCCACACTCACTAGTCTATGGGACTGATGCAATAATACCAGTTGAGGTCGGGGAACGAAGCCTAAGATACTCAAATGATAGCGGGCCAAGAAAAAACGAGAACAGAAGGCAAGACCTCGATGAAGTCGAAGAGATAAGAGACATGGCCTACATAAGAATGATAGCTCAAAAACAACAGGCAGAGCAGTACTACAACCAAAAAGCCAAAATCAGGCCACTCAAAATCGGGGACTATGTACTCAAAGCCAAAACACAGGCAAACAAAGACCCATGAGAAGGCAAACTAGGAACCAATTGGGACGACCAATACAAAATCACGGCGGCAGAAAGCAAAGGGTCATTCCAGCTGGAAACAATGGAAGGAAAATTACTACCAAACGATTTGAACATCGCCCACCTCAAATACTTCAACTTCTAAGGATAGACGTCTCCTGGGTCGTACTCTTTTTTCCCTTACCCGAGTTTTGTCCCGATTGGGTTTTCTCGGGGAGGTTTTTAATGAGGTGACGAAGAGAGCGTCTCGAATTTAAGTACAAGTTCATCGCTCGACCTATCAACTACTTTTCCAGGTCGACCAACGAAGGGACTAGATAGACTGGGGATTCAGATAGACTGGGACTTCTCCAATGTATGCATGAACAGAGCAAAAACATGTAAACTTCTCCAATGAAGGTATAAACAAAGCGAAATACGCAAAAAATGAGTTTTTCATCTCCGCCAAGTTCATACATTACGCAAAGGTAAGAGTCAAACATTCGACCTCGCTCGAATCGACCCACATTCGACCTCACTCGAATTTTATTTACATTCGACCTCGTTCGAATCACTTAAAGAGTTAAATATTTGACCTTGCTCGAATCGACTCACATTCGACCTCGCTCGAATTTATTTGCATTCGACCTCGTTCGAATCACTTAAGAGTCAAACATTCGACCTCGCTCAAATTTATATACATTCAACCTTGTTTTTATCACTTAAAGAGTCAAACATTCGATCTCGCTCGAATTGACTCACATTCGACCTCGCTCGAATTTATTTACATTCAGCCTCGTTCGAATCACTTAAGAGTCAAACATTCGACCTCGCTCGAACCGACTCACATTTGACCTTGCTCGAATTTATTTGCATTCGAACTCGTTCGAATCACTTAAGAGTCAAACATTCAACCTCGCTCGAATCGACTCACATTCCATCTTGCTCGAATTTATTTACATTCCACCTCGTTCGAATCACTTAAAGAATCAAATGTTCTAGGTCGTTCGAATCGACTCACATTCAACCTCGCTCGAATTTATTTACATTCGACCTCGTTCGAATCACTAAAGAGTCAAACATTCGACCTTGCTCGAATCGATCACATTCGACCTCGCTCGAATTTATTTACATTCGACCTCGCTCGAATCACTTAAAGAGTCAAACATTCGACCTCGCTCGAATCGACTCACATTCGAGCTCGCTCGAATTTATTTACATTCGACCTCGTTCTGACTCACATTCGAGCTCGCTCGAATTTATTTACATTCGACCTCGTTCGAATCACTTAAAGAGTCAAACATTCGACCTCGCTCGAATCGACTCATATTCGACCTCGCTCGAATTTATTTACATTCGACCTCGTTTGAATCACTTAAGAGTCAAACATTCGACCTTGCTTGAATCGACTCAAATTCGACCTCGCTCGAATTTATTTACATTCGACCTCGTTCGAATCACTTAAAGAGTCAAACATTCGATCTCACTCGAATCGACTCACATTTGACCTCGCTCAAATTTATTTACATTCGACCTCGTTCGAATCACTTAAGGGTCAAACATTCGACCTCGCTCGAATCGACTCACATTCGACTTCGTTCGAATTCATTAACATTCTACTTCGTTCGAGTTATTTAACATTCGACTCTGTTCAAATTATTTAACATTCGACTTCGGTCGAATTCATTAACATTCAACTTCGTTCGAGTTATTTAACATTCGACTCCGTTTGAATTGTTTAATATTCGACTTCGTTCGAATTCATTAACATTCGACTTCGTTTGAATTTATTAACATTCATCCTTGTTCGAATCAACCAGCATTCGACCTCGCTCAAATTAATTAACATTCGACCTCGTTCGAATCAACTAAGTCAGGAACTCTTACAAAGGAAAAAGCAAGCGAAGAAAAGCGAAAAGAGCCAGCAACATACAACAAAAAGTCAAAAGTCATTCCATTCCAAAATATAGAGTATCTTACAAAGGGCCAGAAAGACCCCTCCAAAAGAAAGGAAGAGAAAGAAAGAAAAGAGCAAAAAACTAAGTACAAGAAAATCACACTGCATCATCTCCGCCTGCGCCATCGCCGCCTTCAACGCCCGGCCCAGCAGCACCATCCATACCTTCACCCGCGCCATCAACATACTCATCTTCATATCAAGGATCAGATGCAAGCCCGTCTAAGTCCTCTTCATCATCGCCGTTCCCCGGTGTGGCGGGGTCATAACCACAGGCAAGCCTGGCATCACGTGCCTTAACACGAGCATCTTCAAAGTCGGCCTCAGGAACCTTCCCCGCCGCCATTAAGTTCCTGTATACGTCTAGCTTTGCCTCAACATGGATCCACATCTCGTATAAATCACAAGGAATGTCGGGGAAAGCGGAAACATGAGAGGAAGTAGGTCGAACCAACAACTGTTCCTTCTCAGCCTCAAGGGCAGCGACTTGTTCACTTAGGCTCAAAACTTCTTTCTCAAGCCCATCAATTCTCTCATCAAGCCGCGTCTCTCTCAGCACGGCCGTTTCCGCATCGATTGCACGTTCAGACCTAAGGACGCGGATAACACTCTCTAATGTCGCCGCTTTTGCCAAAGCCGCTACCCGAGCTTCCTCAGCCCTCACCAACTCTACCACCTTCTCAGTCAACTCACTACTCTGGGCGGCAACTCTAATTGAGCTTTGCTCAAGCTCAGCCCGCAAGGTCGCCACTTGCGCTTGAAGGTCGACGCACTTGGCCACGACCCCCTTGCTCACCTCGAGCTCGTCGTCCTTAGCCTTGAGAAACCCCTCGAGCTCGCTGCATCTACCAATAGTATGCACAAGCTCCTCGTCCTTCTGACCTAAATCGTCTCTAAGGGCCTGGATATTTCCACCTGCTCTAAACCGGGCACGGATCTCACGGTACTTGTAACGATAACGGATGTACTTCGAAAACATCTTCTGAAAAACAATCTTCCACCCTCTTCTCGGTGGGCACTCTCGATCTCCAAAATGAAAGTCTAAAAAAAAGAGAATAAGAAGAAAATTAGCGAAGGTAGAAAGAGGAAAAACATGCAAATTGCAGAAATGACGAAAGAAACTCACCATCAAAGCCATCCCGGATATGCCCAGTGACAAGTCAGAATCTCAAAGTGCCTGAAGGGTCCTGTTTTCAGCGGCAGAAAAAAGAGGGGCAAAGGATGGGACCATGCTCAGCGTATCCTCCAACAAATCTGTCACGACCCAAACCGATGGGCCGCGACTGTCATGACCCGGATTCCCACCCTCGGAAGTCGTGATGGCACCTACTAGTACGAGCTAGGCAAGCCAATTAATTTCATAATTTACCCTTTTTACTCATTTTATATTCATTAGCAATTTTAATAATAATAATAACATTTAAACAACAGAATTTAACATAAGCGGAAGAAAGAAGCCATAAGCTATCTGAACATGAATATCCAATACAACTATTTGAACCTCGACTACCCAGAACTGGTGTCACAATATCACAGACGGTCTAAGATTTACTACATACAAAGTCTGAAGAAAATATCAATACACTGTTTCTGAATAGAAGGAAAATGAAACAGGAAATAAGGATAGAGGAGATGCCAGGGCCTGCGGACGCCTGCAGGTCTACCTTGGATCTCCGCGTGAACTGAAAATAGCCTCCAACCTACGGTCCAAAGTCAACAGCACTGGGATCTGCACAAAAGAGTGCAGAGTGTAGCATCAGCACAACCGACCCCATGTGCTGGTAAGTGCCTAGCCTAACCTCGACGAGGTAGTGACGAGGCTAGACCAAACTACCATATAAACCTGTGCATATATATATACAACGGAAAAGAGACACAGAAATAACAAGTCAAAATGGGAGGGGAGCATGCTGTGGGGGAGATAGCAATTCCGAATAGAAAGACATCAAATAAACGAAAGAAATAACATAACTCAGATATCAACAAGAATCAGAACTCAATAAATGCACGGCATCACCCTTCGTGCTTTTACTCTCGTCCTCACCAAAGCAATCATATAATAAAAGTGTGCACGGCATCACCCTTCGTGCTTTTACTCTCTTTCCTCACCATATAATCAATAAAAACGACACGGAATGGTACATCGTGCGGCACGGCATCACCCTTCGTGCTTTACACTCTTTCCTCATAATAATACACGGCATCACCCTTCGTGCTTTATACTCTTTCCTCACAATACAAACAATGCACGACATCACCCTTCATGCTTTAACGCTCTTCCTCACCCAAACAACAATCACAAACAATAGGGCAAGGGAATAAATAAAATTGCAATAAAGATCCCGGCAAGGGAACAACATTTCAACAAATAAATCCCGGCAAGGGAAAAACATCAATAATATCAACATCCCGGCAAGGGAGATAACAAATAAATCAATAATAGCCCGGCAAGGGTGTCAACATGATAACTTCTTTTCTTTCTCACTTTTACTTCACAATTCACTTCATAACTCGAGCCAATGCTCTAGAGATTCAATTATCACTTACACTTTCACAATTTGTTACATAACTTGAGCCAACGCTCCTCAATGTTCATAAGTCACAATTCCTTCCACAAACTTTACACAACATATAGAAACTATCACCATGGCATGAAATATACAACGAAGTCATGAAGATCACAATGTAAAGACTCACGGGCATGCTAGACACCACCGTATAGATACTCGTCACCATGCCTATACGTTGTACTCAACAACTAACACTTAACAAATATGACTCAACTCCTAATCCCTCAAGCTAAGGTTAGACCAAACACTTACCTCGAACTTCCACTGCCAACTCAAGCCTCAAACACCGCTTTTGTCACGACCCGGATTTTCCACCCTCGGGAGTCGTGATGGCGCCTACTCGTAGAAGCTAGGCAAGCCACGATCTTAGAAATCATCAACCCTTTTTGTTTTTAGTTCCTTTTTAACCAAATTAAATTAACAGGGAATAAACAATTAAATAACAGCGGAATATGAAATTTAGCGGAAGTCTTAAATAAAATATAAAACTAAAAT